TTTGCTACAATCCATAACAAATTAATTACTATTTATAGCTGGGAATAAGCCACAATTAAAGATAAAAATACGTTTATTGACGTTTCAATTTCCAATTCGGAAATCGTTCTCAAAATACAAACAGTAAATTAAACAAATTTTGTTTTTTAACAAAAAACAAAATTTGTTTAATTTACTGTTTGTATTTTGAGAACGATTTCCGAATTGGAAATTAAAACGTCAATAAACGTATTTTTATCTTTAATTGTGGCTTATTCCCAGTTATAAATAGTAATTAATTTACAATGCCACAAGAAAATAGCTTCAGAACAATCCATAACAAATCGCAAAACAGATATAAATAACGATGTTATTAATTGGCTAAAAACACATGTAATACATATTACAAAGAAAAGTCATACAGTTTTGTACATGAAAAAATATGTGAGAGATCAACAATTTTCGGAGGTTAATACTGAAAAAGCAGGTAAAGGTCAAAAACCTGTTTTAAAGAATGTATAGTTACCTTCCTTGTGGCTAAATGACAAACCTTTATCCGCTGAAAAAATAAAGAACCTTAAAGATTTGTCTAAGTTAATCAGTCTCAAGATGCCATGCCTTTTTATGGATTTTTGAATAACATCAGCTATGAAGATTTTGAAGAAGATTTGGACAGAATTAGGTTAAATCCTGATTTCGAGATTGATCAAGATCAAATCGAGTAGGAATTTAATTAGTAACAGTTACTTACTTAGTAATGAACTTGAATTCGAAGTTTTTTTCTGCGTATTTACCATTTCGGAGGGATAGACAGTTATTGCAAAATTTTACAATTTTGAAAAAACCGTCTAAGGCGCTTTAAGTTATTTTTGCAATAAACTTTTTTACTTATTTTGCTTTTGTACACCTATTAAGGTAGCCTGTAATTATTGTAAAATAATATTGTGAAAATAAGGCTTATTTTCTATCGGTAAGTTTTCTAAAGTAGGTAGATACGTTATGCTCATTTACTCTGAATCATATATATGTGGCTTAGACTATTATTGCAGAACACCATCCAATTAAAACGTCGGATAGTTTTTTGTTTTTTGTTGGAACCAATTCGACCAAGAAATTATTTAACGATCAATTGGACAGTCAGTGACGTCGATGACTACAAGCTGTAGTAAATAACACATCCATAATGAATTTAATTAATTAATTTTAAGTTGTTTTATTTAGTTAAAAAATTTGTATTACCTTGTAAATAAAAAAATAAATTTTTTAAATATTTTGCTCCAAAGGCTTAAAATTTTTTAATACGATTTTAAGGGTAGTCTTTACGGATACTTATTAAAAGTAATACTAATTTTTGAATTTAAATATTATAAGGGTGCCTTTGCAATGACCTTAAAAGTAAGCCTTAATTAAAATGACCATTACTTAGACCCCCCTTCAATTTTTCTGTTGAACTTGTAAATTTTTATTTAAGTATGCGTTTTCTTAAGTATCAATATATGTCTCAAATTATGTCAAAATCGGAACAAAACTAAAAAAGTTAGGGTAAACTATACAGTGATTGGCCAGTTAAGAAGGTGGATGCAGTTAATTCAATTTTTTAAATAAAATTTCACTTACAGACCTCGTAATATTATTTTTTGGTTTCTTCAGTTTATTGATAAATGATTTTAAAAAATATTTTCTCCATTTAAATCAATGTTTATTTGTAATTTCGAAACAATTTGTTATTTGTAAAATAACCAAACATTGGCCACTAACTTTAAATTATTGGCCACTTGAATACCAGTAATTGGCGTAGGTAAATCACATTATTAAAACGATAGGTAGATAGGTGCGTACCTATACCTAGTGTAGAATTAATTTATTTTTGAATATTATTATATGTTATTGTTAGATAATAAAAAAAAATTTCAAAGATTTTATTTATACAGCAACACAAGTCTTACAATAAAAAATTTTATCCTTATCTACTGAAGGACTAATTTTTATAATGCACAAATTATGATACGTGCGGCTGCACTTGTAGCATCGGATACCTTTGTTTGAATTTGTAATATTTTTCGTGCAAATGAAACAAAGTTTTTCGACAGCTATTGAATTATAAACAAAGTCATTCTTTTGGGGTTCATCATCACTTCCAGAACTGCTGAATACTCTTCGTACGTGACGTTGAGGTATTTTTGTATTATTGTTTAATCCGCTTGTCCCTGCTGCATTATCATATTTGTTTAGGCGGTCAGTATCCAGTTTGGGACTTTTAGATTTAGTTTTATTTTTGTTTTCTTTCACTGTATCATTTTTTTTGTTTTGATGTTTTTTCTCCCAATTTTTTTTGCAGCTTTTTCTTTTTGCTTGGATAATCTTTCTGTTTTACGTGTTTCTTTTCTTTTCTGTTCTTGTTTTTTATTTGCCAATTTCTCCATCTGAATTCTTTTCCATCCTGAACTAGTTAAAACAAACGGTAATCGTTGGTAATCCATTTTTCCTTTTCTTTCTGGTGTTTTAGGCCAAATAACGAAATCTCGAATGCTTCTATTATTTTGGGTAGTTTTATTTATTGTCCTCTATAAATGATTCTTCAACTGAAGGCACCTCCTGGGTTAAAATTTCTTGTGATATATCACTTGTTAGCACAGTTTCTTCTAAAGACTGGGTTTCTTCTTTATTTTCCTTATTAGGTAATTTTTCTACAGATTTTCCCTGTGTTAAATTTTCATCTATCATTTGTTTCCATAGCTTCTGGTAAAGGCCGAGTTTCTTTTTTATTTTCCTGTATAAGTAATTCTTCTACATGCCCTTCGTGTGTTACATTTTTTTGTAATTCTTCCCCTGTCTCCACAGTTTCTTCGAAATAATTGTGACGTGATAAATGTTGGTCGCTTTTTTCCTCTTCATTTACGTCTAGTCTAAAAAGTATATTTTCGTCGAAAATAATTTCCATATTTTTTATTTCAGTGTCCACTGTACTGATTTCTAGGTTTTCTGAATCGTCACGAATTTCCGGTTATTGCTCTTTTCAAATTTTTTATATAATTTATATAACAAGATAAACTCAACATGACTTGCTTCGTCAAACTGATCATTTTTTTTAAATATGGCTATTCTCTCTTCGCCAACTATTTCCTTAAATTGATTATAAGAGATAAACGGAATACTAGGTGACCCTTTTTTCTTTACGTTTGTATCTAATATATGTTTGTTTCCTTTTTTGTTCCCAGACATTTGGTAAAGTCTATACCTGATGCGTTCCATGGATATAATCCACTTGCTCTAAACCCATTTTTTATAGTTTCAGCTTTAGCGTAGTCTTCTATGACACCTTTCAGGACTGGTGCAAATTTTTCTTTAGTCAGCATTTCATGGGGATGTTTTCTTCTGAATTCTAACACTGCTTTTTTCCAACCTGTTTTTAACGGTTTGAATGCAGCAACATCTGCTGGTTGCATTAACCGTGTTGCGTTGGGATACAACGATATTAAAATTATCTGTAGTTCCGTACACAGTTGACTCAACTTTAGTATTTGATGTGTAGAATGGCCATCTACAAAAATGATTATTGGAAAAGTAGTGCCATTTTTTTTAAATATGGATACAAAACATTACCAATATACTCGTAAAATAACTCAACTTTCATCCAACCATTATCACTGTGTCCAATTACCCAAGAAGAAGGCACTGAATTAACTATAGAAGCCGGAAATCTTTTGTACCGATAAATAAGCATCGGATCAGTTACTTGACCAGATGCAGAAAAGGTAAACATCACGGTGATATTCATTTTTGCTTGACCAGAATCTACCTCATAAACATTCCGTGCTCCACGAGGCGCAATAACTTTAAAATTTTTTGGACACAGATAAAAACATGTTTCATCTCCGTTAAAAATTCTAGTGGGGTCTTGCAGAATATAATCTAAATTTTTACTTTTTAAATATTCCTCGACTAAAGAAAACCATTTACGAACATCTCCTTCTAAAACAACTGCACTAGCCGAAGTAACTGCTTCTGGTGTTCGGTGAGTTAAAATTTCATGTCGCTTAAGAAAGCCTCGATACCAGCCTTCTCCAGGAAAATTGTCCTGAAATGGATTTTCACGTGGGTTTGAATCTAAAAATTCCTTAACAGAAGCTTGAATATCTACTTTCCTAACTGGAAATCCTTTTTTGTAACTTGTCAATATCCATTCTTCTAAAATAGCTTCCTCCTTATTATTCAAAATACTGCTTGGTCCCAAAGTTATCTTATTAGTAAACTTATCACTTTTTCTAAACTGAAGTGTTTGACGTGGTACTTTAAATATTTGGGAAGCTTTTCTTTGTGACATCCCATTTTCGATGGCCTTCAACGCAAGCAAAACATCTTCTTCGGCATATTTTTTTTCGTATTGTGCACCCTCTTTTACTTTGGGCATCTACAAAAAAAATATCTATGTACCCATGTGCCAATCACTAAACATAAAATATTATCAATAAAATGTATTTTTACAGTGAATGGCCAGGTGGCCAATAACTGTCTAATATAAAGAAATTAGAACCAGTGATTGGCATAGATAATTTAATAAAAACGAAGCACATTCACGCAATTATTGACTTACATTTAGTCATTTTAAACATAATAAAATAACTTAAAACTATAAATTTTATGTAACAAAACATACCTTATAAAATATCCTTTTTTCCAATACTATCGGTTTTTACGATTCTTAAGTATTTTTGATAAAAAATGTTGATACACAGCACACCGTCTGATAGATCTGTCGATAATTTTTTAAGGTTAGGTAGTGCAATAAAATGAAGTCAGATACTATTTTGTACATGGTTGCCTCTGTCATAAAAAAATAACATTTGTCAGTGAATTTCGTTATATTCTTAAAATAATGTAAAAAACCGACAATGTGCCAATAACTAGTAGTGGCCAATCACTGTATAGCTTACCCTATTTAGGGTCAAAATGGGTTCCAAATAAATTTGGCACACCGTGTATTTTGTTTAATAATATTCTATATTTTTTTTAACTTTTAGCCACCAATCGGTTTAAATAATTGGGATGGAATAGTAGATACTACCAGCAATACAAAAATCTGTCCGCAAATGCCCAAGTCAATTTCAACAATTGTTACGGGTTTGATAGAAACCGAAGATTGTTTAGTACTTAATATTTATTCACCTGTGGTAAGTAAGCAAACAGTAACAAATTTATAAATTCGAGGGTGTTGGGAATTGGACGAAAATGTTATAATTAAAAAAGTTGCTATTTTTGTCGCAAGATGTATGCAAAGAGTGCATTAAACTAGCTTTTCATACAAACATTAATATCAACACACAATTACAAATTAAAACAAAACTCAACACAAGAGCAGATATTATTTGAATATACAAATTTATGTGTGCTTTGGTTTTCTTTCACCTCACGTCTTTCTATAGGGATTAATGCATGTACCGAGAGATTGTAACAAGCTCGTACTGAACCTACAGTTGGTATAGTATAAGTCGCGATGCATGTCATTATCTACGTCAGAGATCTAAGTTGACATCGTTGCTACCACATCTGGGGTGCAACAGTTTGCAGAGCTTTTTTCCACATGTTCAAAGTATCCCTTTCTTTATAGCCATCTCTACTAATATGTCTGTTTATATTAGTCTTTGGCAATTCCCCATATTGATTCTATAGCTTTGAAAATAAAGTGGAATGCTTGCAGACGTAAAACTTTATGGCCTTTATGTTTTTAATATGATTAAATATTTTACCGTTTTCATTTGATCGTTTATCAGTTTTATTACTTCGTACACTTCTTTTTTTTTATTTTTTCATGAGCGACATATAGATCCATTCTATATATTCTATAGTTTCATTTATAAAAATAAACAAAAATAAACTTTTATAGCAATATGAGGCTGTTCCATCAGTCCTCTCCTTATATATATATATATATATATATATATATATATATATATATATATATATATATATGTGTGTGTGTGTGCGTGTGTCAATATTGAGTAACACACAACACACTAAACAGTTCTTTCCTTTTTCCTTCAATTAAATCCATAAAGAGGTCAAAGTCACATGTTTTTCTGAAAATAATTAGATTGTATTTCATGGTAAACAAAAAGTATACTTACTTTGTTCATACATAAAGCAAAGCTAGGATAATCTGCACAGATTTCGAAAAAAATGGCACAAATTTTAAGTTTTCCAATGTTTAATGTGAAAATGTGTTATGTGGGTTTGGCACGTTAGCTATACTAATTAAAATACTTCAAATGCAAAACTCTTATATTAAAAAAAACATGGGACCTAAAAAAAGTGTGCAATCTTTCTTAATCGAGTAGGTAGGTGAGATTACGCGCAAGGCTAGGAGAGCTTGCGCTTATTCTAAAAAAAGTTATTTATTTCATTTGACATAACATGGACATTTCATTTGAATTTTTTATACCACAATTTATACATTTTTGTGGATAGAGTGTGCATGATTCATGCAGCCATTTTTGGCAGATGATGCATTTTATCCAATCTGATTTGGATGTGGTTTTAGAATAAATTTCAAAACACTCTAGGCATGATTCATCGTCGTTTTCGGACACGTTATCAGAAAGAAGTTCCATTTCAACTCCGTTGTCTTCTTCCGAGGTTGGTGGAGATTCAATCTTTTTTCTTTTTCCTTTCAGTTTATTATATTTGCGAGATATCTCTTTACTTTTATTCTCAGTGACTTTTTTCTTTTGCGCGATTGCCAGTTTTTATTTCTTTTAGATTCAATATAATTTGAATCAGTGATATTCATTGCACTTATTTTTCTTTTGACTTTGTGATGCTGTTAAACTGCATGGAATTGGTGATATTTCAGTCAAAAGTTTGTTTGGTGTTATCATCAATTTTTGGAGTTGTAAGCTTGGAAGTTAAAGGTTGATAGAAAATTGATTCCGGAGAAAAATGGGCCACTTGAGAAGTAGTTTTAAAAGTTGACGCAGCTAAAGAATCGGGCGGAGATGAGTCACTTGAGAAGTAATTTTAGATGTCGAAGAAGTTGAAGAAGCGAGCATAGTAGACAATTCAGTTACTGAAATGGATGAGTCTGTTGATTCAACAGCGTTCTCATGTGTGTTCTGGTCGCAAGCCAACAGATAAGCATGCTCTATAATAGCATTTATGTCTAAAGGATGGATACCTGTAGCCCGGAATGCTGTAGTTGAAGTTTAACAGTAGCAGAACAAGACCAAGCTGGCTGTAAAAGTTCACCAAAGTCCTCTATTGTAATTCTTCCAGTCCCACTTCATCTAGTTACTAACTGCTGACAGGCGTCTTTAAAACAAGTTTTGAAAGGCTTAAATACTACTCGGTCCAAAGGCTTAAGGTAATGTGTTGTATGGCTGCTGGGGAGCTACAGAAGAATTATATCATTATCTGTAGCAGTCTGAAGCATGTCGGTGTTGCTCATGTGCGAGGCATGTCCACCAAGTATGAGTAGGTTTTTACCTGAGGGTTTACGACGTATAAAATGGGGTGTGAGCCAATCCAAAAATAAATCGTTACTGATGTACGCACTCTCTTTCCTCATTCTAATTACGGTACCAGATAGAGCACCTTTTGATATTGAGGTTTGTCATAAACTCCTTTAAAAATGCAGTAAGTAGGTAAAAATTGCCCCCCGGTATTGCAACATGCTAATATACTAATAGTTTCTCCTTTCTCGGCATTGGTGACAACATGAACATCTTTACTGCCTTTAGATGCAACAACTTTTTTTGGTTCATTATTAAGTTGAACTCCAATTATATCACAATTCCAAATACATATTGGTTTGTTTAAAAGATCATTACTGGTTAAAATGTCAGCCAATAGAGTAAAATAATTTTTTACTTCCTCACGATTCATTCCTTTGGTTCTAGCTCTACTTATTCCTTGAACTTTTCGAACACTTAGCTCTGGATATCTCCTTATAAAGGAAGACAACCAAATCTTTCAATATAATAATATATATTTATATTTATTTAATATTATTATTTAGTAATACTATATTTTTATAATCTCTCAAAGAAAGTGCCGAAAGATGTGCTGTTCGTTAGAGAAATTTCTGTACCGTTAAAACTTGATCGAAAATATAATGCCTTAGGAAGTAACCGAAAGATATACAGTTAGGTGAAATAAGTTCTAGAGATCAGAAGATGAAAAACTTAACAGAATGGGGACTAACCTTAGAGCAGACCAGGATCCACAGATGATTGTCGATCTAAAGATGATGATGATGAAATATGTTCTGTCTATTTTCTACCACCCAGGATAAGTAACGGTATCTCGCTATCTAAACATTTTTCTATAAAAAGGCTTCTCTATAATGTAGTAGAAGTTTGACTAGTGTATTTTTGAAACCCCGGTCAAAGAGTAAGATATTTTTTATTACGTTTTTGTATTTCTTTATATTTTTACCTTTTGGTACTTTGCCTATTTGACCTTTGTATTTTCTTCATTTAGTTAGGATCCAAAGTTAGTCCAAAGTTATTAAAATCTCGCAATTCCAGTAATTCCAAAGTTAGTATTAAATTATTCTTCGGTAGACACTGATTATCTTAAGTATCACATTTTAAAGAATTAAAAATATAAAACTGTAAATAATTTTTTATGGTATCTCCTTTAATAACGATAGAGTACTGTAACGAACTTAGTCACAAAATCCTGGATAGAGCAAGTTATAAAATACAACAGGCCATTGCTACTAATATTTTGTAGACTAAAAAGCATTTGACTTTTAAAATATATAATAGTGCAACAGCTGCAGTGAGAATGTATTATGATGACACAAACATATTTTCCTTGCTGAAAGGTAATAGGTAAGGAGACGCCATCTCTCATAAAACTATTCATCGCTGTATTAAAGAGTACTATGAAAAACAATAATTGGGAAAATATTGGAGTCAACATACATAAGGAGTTACTGAACAACTTAAGGTTTGTAGACGACATTGTCCTTATTGCAGACGGGTAGATTATGCCTGATAACTTCTTCGAGACTTCTTCAGAGCTTTTATACACGAGTTGGCCTTAAATTTTTCAAAACACAATACATGACCAACTTTGTATTTTAATGGGCCACGAGATTAAATTAAGAAGAGACAATCAAACAACAGAGCTAAATAGAAGAATATGACTAACATGTACAGCTTACGGAAAACTGAGGGAAGTCTTTAGATCATATATTCTCCTCTGCTTGAAAAGGAAGGTCTTTGTCATCATCATCAATGTTCTTAGTCCCAGTTCTAACGTATGGAGCAGAAACATTGACCCTTACCAAAAAAGTAATGGATAAGGAACAAATGGTACAAAGACCAATGGAGAGGCCAATGTTGAATATATCTTTCAGATACAGAGTTTCAATTCAAATAGATAGGAAAAAAACTGCCGTTACAGACACAATTACTAAAATTACTGACGCTGGGCAGCACATGTTGCCATAGTCAGAAGTGGAAAAATGGACCATTTTAAAATGAAGCCTAGACACGATGTTTATCGTAATCGATGACGTCCTCCAAGTTGGTCGGACGATATCAAGCGCATTCAGCATAACTAGATTCAAGTCATCATCATCATCATTGGCTTTTACAACTCTTCGTGAGTTTTTGCCGCGTTTATTATTGCCTTCCATTGATTCCGATCCTGTGCTATTATTTCCCATGGCCTTACTTCCATCTTCTCCAGGTCTTCCCTGACTGCGTCTTTCCACCTTTTTCTAGGCCTTCCTGTCGATCTTTTACCATCTGGTCTTTCCCAAAATACATTGCTAATCAGTCTGTCGTCATCACTCCGTACCACGTGGCCTGCCCATCTTAATCTATTGGCTTTTATGTATCTTACGATGTTTCCTTTCCCGAAGAGAGTCTCTATTTCATTGTTGTATCTGCTCCTCCATTCATTTGTCACGCTGTCCCTGCAAGGACCATATATAATTCGCAGGATTTTGCGTTCCCATACTAATAGCTTATTGATTTCTTTCTTTCTCAATGTCCATGTTTCACTTCCATATGTCACTGCTGGTCGTATTATGGTTTTGTACATTTGGATTTTGGCACGCCTTGAGAGAAGCTTTGACCTCATTAGATGTTGAATGGCAAAGAATGATTTATTCCCCGCCAGTATTCGTATTTCAACCTCCCGTTTTCCTGTGTTTTCACTGGTAATTGTTGCTCCTAGGTATTTTGATTCTTTGACCACCTCAAAATTATGATCGTTTATGGTAATGTTTTGTCTTATTCGCTGTCGTTCCTTTTTTGATACGACCATGTATTTAGTTTTTTCTTCGTTTATTTTCAGGCCTACGCTTAGTGTTGCTTCTTCAAAGTTCGATACTATATCCTTAACTTCCAGTGTTGTCTTTGCTACTGCATCTACATCATCTGCAAATGCGAGAATAATCTTTGCTCCTCTGGCAGTTATGTCTGGTTTGACTCTGGTATAGATTTTTCGCATTGCGTATTCCAATGCTAGGTTAAATAGTAATGGGGACAGCGGGTCTCCCTGTCTGAGCCCGTGCTTATGCCGAAAGCCTTTAAAGTTTTGCCTCCTATTCTAATTTGTGCAAAGGAATTGTTGACACACATTCGCGCAATCATAGTCAGCTTCTTTGGTACGCCTAATTACATCATTGCACTCCACAGTTTTAAGCGATCTATGGAATCATATGCTTGTTTGAAATCTATGAAGATCTGGTGTACTTCTTTATTATATTCCCAATACTTTTCTAGCATTTGTCTGATAGTAAATATTTGGTCGATTGCTGATCTTCCAGGCCTAAAGCAGCATTGGTAATCAAGTGACTTAATGCAATGGAATTTTTTACGGGAGGCCTATATTTAGTATTAGACTCAAAATGGCTAATGATGATGTCACAAACAAAGTTTATCACCTTGGATATAGCGATAAGTTATTTATATAGATACAAACTTTTTTAGCAACCAGGATCAGACTCTTCTCTTCCGGTGTATTTTTGGATTCATGGCGGAAGTTTCTTTGAGGGTTCTGGCGGTATCTCTCAATTTAATCCAAAATATTTTCTAGACCAAAATATTGTTGTAGTGACAGTTAATTATCGTTTGGGAGCACTAGGTAACTATTTTTTTTTTTGTTTAAAATTAACTTAAATAACATACAACATGCAATTGAACATTTTTTGCATATATTTATCATTTTATAGAAATAGTTTTTAATTAAATAGCTATAAACAATTTATAGTAAATAGGATTTTTGTAGGTTTCTTAACACTCAATGACAACAACATTCCTGGCAATTTGGGTATAAAAGATCAAAATCTGGCATTAAAATGGGTTTCAGAAAACATTCATTTATTTGGTGGCAATCCTAATAACGTTGTTCTAGGAGGCGAAGGCTCCGGAGCTGTTTCAGTCGGATACCATTTACTTAGCAAATCTAGTAAAGGTTTGTAGTACTTTATATTAAAACGTAATATTAAAAAGAAATTTGAACTTTTATGGTTAATACAATGCATTTTAAATACCGTAATTCGTTTCTAGAATATATAGAAGAAATAGAAGAATAGAAGAAATCTTTGTAAAAGTGGTGTACATAGTGAAAGGGAAAAAGCTAGTTTAAGAAACCTCAATAAAAAAATAAAACGAAGATGTAAGGCCGACAAAAAACAGTACTATCAAAGTATATGCAAAGACATTGAGAGACATGGTCAGAATAATCAGCCGAGAGATCTATTTAGAAAAATACGCTGCCTGACAAGAGACTTCAGAGCCAAAACTTGGGCCATTGAAGATAACACTGGAACCCTGAGAACAAACAGAGAAGACATAGCAGAGACATGAGATCGTATTGCAGGGACCTATATAAAGATGATCAACGCCAAGAGCTTGTTAGCCAAATCTCTGACGAGGTGGAAGAAGAACCTGATATACTCGAAAATGAAGTAAGACAGGCTATCAACAAGCTCAAATATAACAAAGCACCAGGTCCAGATATGATAACAGTAGAAATGCTTAAAGCCACAGAAGAAACCGGCGTAAAGTTACTTCATCTACTCTGTAACCAAATATGGCATTCCAAACAATGGCCTGAAGACTGGACAAAATCTACAATAACGACCATACATAAAAAAAGGCAGCTTCCATAAATACAACAATTATAGAACTATCTCTCTTATATCCCATGCCAGCAAGATAATGCTACATATAATCAATAAGAGACTGAAAACATTCCTTCAAAGAGAAAGTCAAATATTTGGTCTGCAATTAAACATACCAAAGACAAAGATCATGATAGTGGATAGACTACACAACAATCATCTACACATAACCACAATTTACCGGTTCGAGGTTGTGAGCTCATACTTATACCTGGGATTATTAATCACAAACACAGGGTCATTACAGGAAGAGATTAAACGTAAATGTGATCTAGCAAAAGTTGCCACAGCAAAAATGACCAAAATATGGAAGGAATGTCAAATTTCAAGAGCGATAAAGATGAGGTTGATTAACTGCTTAATATTCCCAATACTGACCTACGGATGTGAATCTTGGACTCTGAGATAATCGGAGAGAAGAAAGATAGACGCCACTGAAATGTTCTGAAAATGAGACGGACAATACACGACATCTCGTCGACCACTACACTCCCCCTGGGGGTCAGGAGTGAAGAGAGAGAGAGACAGAATTCGTTTCTATTTAAGCCGCCGTTGCTACCAAATTCTATTTTTCTATTTTAGTTTCTGTTTTCAATTTTATTTTTTACTCGATCATCGATTTATTCTGGTTCTATAGAAATGCTCCGTTCACCTGATATGCGAATATATTAATTTCAATTTATTTTCATTGCTTATATTTTGATTGATTATATTCTGTAGATATAACTCTAGATGTAAGCATATAGTGAAATAAGAAATTAATAAAAGAAAAAACATATCAGGTTTTCTGAAATTAGCTCAATGGTAGGTCAATATCTAGGTCTAGAAATGCTTGGAAACTTATAAAGACTCTTAAAGCGAATTGACACGATCCAAGTGTACTTGGTTAAAGTCTGCTTGGACGTTGCGCGCGAAACACTTAAAAGCTACTTTGATCGTGTCACCAGTTCATTCAAGTACACTTGTATCAACAGGTTATATCTAAGTTAAGTAGAACGCTAGCCAACTTCCTTGGACCAAAGTAGTGTGATATTGTAAAATTAAAATGGTGTCGGTTTTAAAAATCTAAAACGAGAAGTAAACACAAAAAGAAAATGGTCTGAAAGAAAGAGTGTTAGATTCATGGAGTGATCGAAGCTGAGGAAGCATTATAAAATGGACGAATAAAGGAATATAAAAATAAGGATGCTAGAAGTGCGGCACTTTTTTATTCATTTTTTTCCGAATTTCAAGCTCATATATCAACATATCAGCAACCACTAGAAAACCTTCCATAATCACTTCCGCTATCTTTACACTGGTTATTTAACATCCAAGTCATTTAACCGTGGCAACCAACTTGATACAAGTGCACTGGTACAAGTTCACTTTGTCCAAGTTGGAATCCAAGCATTTTCGGATTGTGTCAACCCGCCTTTAGAAAAAACACAAATGAAAGAAGAAAGTTAAACACTATAGCAAAGGAACAGTAGAAAGACTACGATAGCAACCGATTGTAAAAAAGACGTTGATAGTATTTAGACACACAGTATTTATAGTATTTATCATTACTGTAGAAGAAATTAAAAAAGTTCTACAAAAAAATGAGAATAATAAAACACCAGAACAAGGTGATTTAACTATCGAGTTTATCAAATATACAGCCATACAAGCATATGACCTGGTTTGTGTAGTTTTTAATGAGTCTCTAAAAGACTAAATTCTTTCAAATTAATGATTCAAAAAACTTTTACATAAATTTCATTTATAAAAAGGGAAATAGGAATGACTGCAATACATATCAAGGTATAATCATTACAATTGAATAGGAAAGCTTTACGAAATAGTCATATCAGCCCAATTTAAAGAGAAAGCAATGGAAATGAAAGAACAAATTGGACTTTTACCCATATATTTTATTATATATTTTACCACAAATTGGCCGCCTTGTTCCTCTAGCTAGGGAAACTTTTTCAAGTTAATAGTCTCCTTCTTCTTCTTCTTCTTCAGTGCCTTATCCGGTCCGGATGTTGGCAATCATCAAGACTATCATGGTTTTGTTGACTGCTCTGCGAAACAGCTTCGCTGAGGTCATCCCAAACTATTGTCGGAGATTTTTCAACCACGAGATACGACCGCGTCCCGGTCCTCTTCTGCCAAATACTTTACCCTGCATAACGAGTTGAATAACTCGATATTTTTCTTCGTCCCGCATCACGTGGCCGAGGTACTCAAGCTTACGTTGTTTAATTAAATTAAGAACTTCTTTTTCTTTTGTCATGCGCTGTAGGACCTCAACGTTGATGACATGGTCTACATAAGATATTTTTAGTATCCTTCTGTATATCCACATCTCGAAGGCTTCGATTCGTTTTTCAGTGGCTTGCGTCAGTGTCCAGGCTTCAACTCCATATAGTAACACTGGAAGAATATCCGCATACTATCCGGGTTCCCAAACTGAAATCACTGCAGCATAGCAAGCCTCTTAATTTAATAAATGTAGACCGTGCTATTTCAATTCTGGATCTAATCTCTTGAGCGTAGTCCCATTGTGAGTTGAGGGTAGTTCCGAGGTAAGTGAATCTGTCGACTCTCTGGATCTCTTCGCTACCTGCCATTAGTGCCCCGGGATCTAAATTTGTACGGCTGACAACCATGAATTTAGTTTTCTTAATATTAAGGTTCAGTCCGTATGTTACGCTCACAGTTCGCACTCGGTCTAGTAAGGCCTGCAGATCGTTTAGGCTGGTTGCTAGTAACACAGAGTCATCGGCGTAGCCAATATTATTGATGTATTCACCGTTCACTGGGATTCCCATCTCTAGGTTTGTGAGGGCTTCAGTAAAAATCTCCTCAGATTATATATTGAAAAGAGTCGGTGGTAGCACACATCCTTGCCTTACTCCTCGCATGATCTTCACTTGGTCAGTCAGCTGGTCTTCGACCTTGACTTGAGCACGCTGGTTCCAGTATAAATTAATTATGATCCGAATGTCCTTCTCATCCAATCCTACTCTTTGTAGGGCGGTACTGACAACGGTCAAATGCCTTGGCGTAGTCAATAAAACAAATATAGACATCACAACTGACATCGCGGCATCTCTGAAGTAGGACTTGTAAGGTGAAAAGTGCTTCACGTGTACCCATGGAATTGCGGAATCCGAATTGCATTTCACCGACATTTTCTTCCCATTTATTGTAAATTCTGGCATGTATGATTTTAAGAAAAATTTTAAGTGCATGACTCATAAGACTGATAGTTCGAAAATCTTCGCACGTTTTCGCAAATCGTTTTTTTGGTAGCGTTACAAATTTTGACAATAGCCATTCCTCTGGGATATTACCTGAATTGTATATGGCGTTGAACAGTTCAGTTAACTCCTTCGTGCTCACTTCACTTATCACCTTAATAAGTTTAACGGGTATTTCGTCCGGACATGTAGCCTTACCATTCTTAGACTGTTTTAAAGCAGCCTTTACCTCGCTTTCTAGAATTGACGGCTCTGTCATGCAATTTATTTCCGGAAGGTTGCCTCGGTTGTCCCAGAAAAGTTCTTCGATATATATTTTCCAGGTAACCAACTTCTAATTTACTGTCGTCGCCAGATTACCGTCTTTATTTATGAGAAGGTGTGTTTTTCTCCTCTTGTATTGACCAGTGGCTTCACGAATCTTTCGGTGGATATTTATATGATCGTGTTTCTCTTGGAGCTCCTCGATTAGTTTAAAGTTTTCTTGCATCCATGTCTCCTTGGCTCTTGGTATATATAGTCTCCTATTCTAACTTAACTGCACCGTACTGATGATGACCAAATAATCACAAACATGCATTTACGGTTGCCTTCCATCTTATAGGTACACATATTTTTTTCCTTTGTTGCGAGCTATGCTGATACCTTTTACTTGTATTTTACTGTTTACTCGCATTAACCTGTGTTTGTTATTTGAAGGGTTCTGAAGGTTTGTTATTCCTTTTCTCTCAACTAACTTAGCTTTCTTCGTGGATGTGATAGTTGCTCTAGAAATCTCAGAGTCTTCTAACATTATTACCACAAATTGGTCGCATTACTCCTGTCGTTATCTTTTTCTAGGTTAACATTTTTCTATTCTAACTTGGCTGCATCGTATCAATGATCCTTTCGTATCCTTTTCTTTATCTTACATTATTCACATCTTTTAATTATCTACATCCTTTAATTTCATTTATCCCACATTATTCTATTATAAATGACTCATACAGTTAACATCAGAGTGAAGTTAATTCCTCTGTATTACTCAAATAATTGTTTGTTTTTTTGTCATATACACATTTGTTATATACACTATGCATTTAGGCCTTAGTTTCTTGAGGGCCTGAAGATGCTGTAAAAGTGTTTGTCCAAACCTGTTTTGAATTTTTGTTCTTAAATGATATTTTAAACTTGTATTTCCGTTACATAATTGTTATATAATGCACACTGCTCTCTGATAATAAGTTGTTTTTTCTTTTGTGTTTTGAGTATGTACTAAATAAATATAGGCCTAATGTTTTCGAGGTTTATCGCTATTCAGATTTTATGTTTTATAGGTTTATTTAGTGCTGCTATCCAGCAAAGTGGATCATCGCTATATATTTTTGGGAACCAGATTGGTTATCGGGATAGAGCTTTCGAACTAGGAAGACGAGTTAACTCTTCGTTCAATTCCAATAACAACACTGAATTGATGGAACATCTCCAATCGGTACCCTTTTCAGATATTATCAGAGCTCAAGCTGGAGTAAGTATTTTATCTTGCATCGTTTTCTAGTAAAAAACATACATACTTATACAATAATAACAAAAAGCATTTATTCTTGCTAATATAATTATCCAGAGAAGAAATGTTTTGTGAACCTTCTTATTTACAACCTGTAGGTTTTAATATGAAGAGCAGCTTTTATATTATCTATATTTTAAAGATTATAGTAATCAGAAATGTGAAAGGCTTATGGAAGAAAAAAGTTTCTATTCCTAATATGACTATTCTTTTCTAACTTCTAACCTACTCTAACTTATTTTAAGAGAACAGAGTAAACATCATGGAAGTGTTGGGTTATTTACCAAATTGAGACCTAGCCGATTAGTTTAACGCTATGCAGAAACCGTTGCGCTTCCACACCTCGAGACGACTAAGACGAACCAAACCTCACCCCTATTACTCCGAGCAACGTGACAAGATCATCGTCTTTGGACATTGGATTGTCTCAATGCCCACTTCTTCCACAGATACCTTCCACTTCTGTTTTAACTGTTCGCTTTAAATTCTCATTTTCACAACACACCAATAAGGTATCTCTAGCAAATTCGCTCTCTTTTAGTCGTCTCACTGTCTCTCTTTTTCTCTCTGTATATACTTGTGAATCACTTTTCACCACCTTTCAGCCGATACCATTCTCTCCACAATTGCTTCATTGCTTGCTTCTCATAATCAAATCTTTCACACACTCTCCTTTCAAGAATATTTCTTTCGCTTGCTTATCTGATATATTTTAGCACTGTATGTGTTACAGTATCCAAACTGTTGCCCTAAAAGCATTCGATGATAGATTCAGCCCTTCTGAACCCGTGAAGTTAAGCAGGGCAGTAATCATAATCTGTAAGCTCCTACATAAGATAATAATCTACATGTCTGTCCTCACACATGCTTCCCAAGTCCGGGACCAACGACTTCATCGACTACGCCACATTCAATGTTGCATGCCATTCTATTTGCCACATCGCAATGGACGTGATCTTCTCGTCATAATTTCCATTTTGTTTAATGTTTTGACGCTACGTCGAAATAGCAAAAATTTTTTATGCGCAATAATATGCAGTGAAATACAACCGATAATTACACACAAAGTCGTAGCTGATAGTCCTGTAAGCACATGCTACACACGGCAAATTTATTTTGTCCAAGTGCACCACGAGCCTTTTATCGGTCGGTGTTTCTACCATCTTCCTATTAAATTTGGGTCCCCCAATTCTAGAAATTATCCTCCCCAACGCTGCTGGAAAAAGCACATGTTAGAGACAAGTTTGCAGAAGTCGTCGTCAACCCCCATTAGAGACGAAACCTAAAGAAGAGCTATTTGATTTGGCCTGCAGATAATCCCCCGAAAATTTTCTCCAAAACTGTGCAAAATCACCCCCAAATATTTTCCTGTTTTCTTAAGAGCGATCCGCACACAATAAATTTTAAAAATTACTCCTTCTCTCTTTCTGGGATATTTAAGCATTAGAAGCTTGATCTTATTTGCAGCAAGTTCCAAATATTGCTGATTAATATCCTTCCACATTCATTGATTATAAGAAAGGATGCATTCCTAAGGCATCCCGGCCGTTATGTCTAAAACCACACCTCTTTTGCTTATAATATTTCTGTCCGAGAGATAATCCTAGACTTCACTGCAATCTCCTAAAAGCTTTTCGGGCATACATCTACCATTGTACTCACATTCTCTTCAAACGTCCTACTTCAGCTTGCCACTTAGCTTCCTCCAGTCTTCTCTTCTTGGCTTAAATCATTTAATATTGCACACGTGTTGCTGATCCTACTATCTATTAAGGGAAGTTGCAGTTCTTGGTCGATAATCTCCATAAAAAGTGAGCGCCTTCAAGATTCAACTTTCCACCTAACTTCTCGTTTTACTCTCCACCCTTCACTCGTTCCCTAACCGATGAATCGGTCGCAGATCCCGGCAAGTCCACCAATGATCGGTCCACCCGTTGGCTTTAGACCTGTGTTGAGAAAAACCAGATGTAGGGTCCCTAAACATCCCATCATCATTTGCTCCTTGTTATTGGTAGATGGCGACCCAACCTAACCTAACTTAACCTTAAAACAAGAGTATTGAATTTAGAGTATTTAATTTTTGTTTACAATATTCCAAATCTCTTTATCTTTAAATTAACTACGCATAACTAAACGCATATACATCTATTAAATTAAGTAATGTTTTAATAGTCTAAAAATACTGTGTTTTGCAATAGTTTAGGTCAAACGAAAAGATTGGATTTTTGAAAGGAGAATATTGGAAACCTGTGGTTGAAGATCCAGATAACCCTGATAGCTTTGTGACCGGACCGATGCTAGAAGATTTTGAAAATGGAAACTTTAACTTGGTACCTGTACTTATGGGATATAACTCTGAAGAATCTTTAAGAGAATTTCTAGGTAAATAAAAACATTTTCAGAAACATAAACCTAACACTAGTGAGTCCTTTTCCTAAACAGAAAGCATTTATCATATTACACTCTTTAGAGCAAGTTATAAATTGAGGGTGTTTAATGTCGCTAACTGAATTTTTACACTAAAGAAAAATTGTTAAATAATGAGGTATTCCGAATTGCCGAAAACAGAAATCAAATCGAAAATGCATTCTTGTCGAGTTCTTGCGTAATTGTTTTCAAAGCTTATAAAAACCTATATAAAATTTTAGACTTAACCAAAGATGGAAATTAGCACTTATATTTAATTAGTAGCGCTCTCTTTGTCCTGGTATATATAACATAAATTCTCTATAGATTTTTTTTCATTTTTTTCATTTCTTGTTAATTTTTTTCAATAAATTTTTATTAACAACTTTTCCAAATATTTTAGCAACAGACGAAGAAGAATATGAAAGTGATGCCAAAAAAGTAGATCAGCTGCCATCTCTCATTGCCAATGACAAGCTCAACATACCCCAAAAGAATAAGGCCAAAGCCGGGAAAGCTATAAAAGCAATATATACAGAAAGTAAATTTTTGGGAAATAAGACAGCATTTGTCAGGGTGAGTTTTTTATTTGTTTTTGTGACTTATTTATTGTCATTAACTTATTGGTGTTTGATAGGACTCTATAATTATTAAGTTTATATTATGTTTTCCGTGGTTAGTAGAATTAAACCTAGAGCTAAGATTAATAGTATTCCAGGAATTAATATTAATCTCACCAGTCTTCCGGGTTGAATCGAGTCGATTATCATTGTGCCAGGCTTTCGACATCCTCGTCGATGTCTTTTTCAGGACTTCCTAGGTCTCAGTCTCCTTATCCCCCAGACACTACTACACTGATCACAGTAATGGCATAGTATAAAAAAGAAACTTTGTGGTTAAACTGTGGTAATGGTTTAGTTAGTGATAGCTCTAACTAACATAGGCCGACGACGAAAAAGACTATTTTACTTATTCTTATGTTTTTTAGAGAGCTGAACCCAAATATGTCACTTATTAAGCTGTATCGCTTATCACTTCCTAATATATGCACTTAAAGTAATAAAATTTTGTTACTTGTTTAAGAATTTAACAGCTATAATATAGTTCAAATGGAATTGTAAAAAAAATTGTACTGAGTTTGGAAGAGTTGGTAACACTGCTGAAATACATTTACTATGTATTCACAGCTAGTGTTTTGTTTTGTTTACTGCGAGGTTATCTAACCTCACTTTATGGTTTTCATTACATGTGATCAGTAAAATGCCTAATCGCTGTTGTATGAACTCTGCTTACAGTTTTTGTTATATTTGTGGTGGGTGCATATTTAGAAGACTAAACTTGGTGATCAGGATAAATCTTAAGCCCCACTTAAGGTATGTTATGTCTGTGTTGAATATTTTAAAAAATAGTCAAAATACGAGAAAAAATGACTTTAAGTTTCCTCTTCCTATGGTATAGAGGGAGTCTAGAAACCACACTGATAGTACTGGCTATAATATCAAACAAGAATGTAATGTAAAGCTACTCTAACCTAATGTCCGCCAACTGACCAGTAGGGCACGATATAAATTTACCGGCCCAAGAACCTCCGTATTCAAGATGAAGTGTTTGCTGATGTCTAGTCAGAGCTATATGAGCAAGATGATGAAGAGTTCCAATGTACTACAGAAAATATAACCTAAACTGTTCACGCAGATAGAGCCTAACGACTACTTGGTTATAGTTATAGTTATAGGGATCGAGTTAACAAAAGAACAAGCAAAATTGCTTGTTTCTAGACTAAAACAAAAGGACTTGTTGGCATTTGGAAATATCATTTATGTGTATAGGCAGAAATAGCAGTAGTTTTTAGCATTTTTAGAACAAGAATGTGTACTGCTAATGTGTGTTAATTTAGTGTACTGCTCAGACATATCAGGCTTTGGCACAACAACTTTCACGTTGACAACAAAAAAGAACATTGCTTACTAATTCATCCAAAGCTAGTTTAAAAGCTGTTTTATTACACAATGGTAAAACACTTATGAACTTGTTGACCATTCTGTACATATAAAAGAAAGAAATGAAAACCTTAAAATAGTGTTAAATACAATTGGCTACTCTGCTCACGGTATGTGTATAGGAAAAGCAGCAGTTCTTAAAAGTTTTTGAACAAAAAGTGTTTTGATATACTGCTCAGACATTGCAGGTCTGATGAATGAGTTCGGTGTTGAATACAAACAATGAGACTGTTTATTGATTCTTCTAAAGCTAGTTAAAAAGTTGTTTTTTATTACACAATGGTATATCATGTATGTATTTATATCTGGTGGCCATTCTGTACCTACATATGATAGAAAGCCATAAAAACATAGAAATAGTGTTGAATAAAATTGGCTGTTCTGTTCATTGTTGTATGATATGTGGCGATTTAAAAGTAATATGAATGCGTCCTGGCCAGCAAGAGAAGGAAGGGATCTGTGAGAAAGTCTTTAAAACCCAGCGGAATGCATATTCTTCAAAAAAAACTTGTAGATTCTAAAAACATTGTCCTACCATCTCTGCATATAAAGTTGAACCTCATCAAACGGTTTGTAAATGTATTGCCTAAAGATGGACCTTGTTTCAAGCATCTCTTCCAAAAGTTCCCAAACCTTTCAGAAGCCCAATTTAAAGAAGGCATCATTGTAGGATCTGACATTCGAAAAGCGACGGTCGACGTTAGTCTAAAACTGCCATGACCATAAATTAGAAAGAATTATGGGTATCACTTAAGCAAGTTACAAAATTCATAGAGACTCCAAAAGACCCAGAATATGGTACACTTATAACCAGCATATCAAAGAAGTTTAAAATATTAGAATGTTTGAAGAGCCTAAAAGTTTTGAACAGGCATCTTGAATACTTTCCGGAAATTTTGGCAGACGTAAGTGAAGCGCAGTATTAGCGTTTTCACCAGGATATTAAAATAATGGAAAAACGCCAACATGAAGAATGACTACTGTTGGTCACTTCGCCGAGAAGCTCTACAAGCGACTCATCGCAGTAAAAGCTACACAAAAAGCTTTAAATAAAAAAGAAGAAAGGAAGTATAAACCAATAAGATCTAACTAGTGAAACCTACCGTGCTACATTGTATAATTATTACAAGTAACCTTCTTCTTCTTAACATGCCATACACCAAAGTGCGTAGGCGACTATTTCATTACTAGAATTCTGTTCTTGGCGGCGTGAGCCGCCAGTACAGCTCACCTGTATTGTATATTCCTGTCCATTCTTTATTATTCCTTAACCAGGACAATTGTTTGCGGCCGGCTCCTCTCCTACCTTCGATCTTCCCTTGTAGTATTAACTGTGATATTTCATATTTTGCTCCTCTCAATATGTGCCCAAGGTAACCAATCTTGCGTTTTTTAATTAATTCAAAGAGTTCTCTTTCCACGGCGGCTCTATTAAGGACGTTATCGTTTCGAACTCTATCCACCCAAGGTATGCGCATCATTCTTTTCAATGACCACATTTCAAATGCTTCAAGTTTGTTGATAGATGTTTTTTTCAAAGTCCACGTTTCCATGCCATAAAGCAAGATGGACCATATGTAGCACTTGACCATTCTGTAGCGTATTTCGAAGTTTAGGTGTTGATTACATAGGAGCGGTCTAAATTTCACAAAAGCTTGTCTTGCCATTTGTATTCGGGTTTTTATCTCGTGTTGTGGATCCGATTGGTCATTGATTGTGGTGCCAAGGTATTTAAAAGTTTTCACGCGATTTATATGATTGTCACCTATGCATATTATCGGGTTTTCTGGAGGGTTTCTGCTAATGCCTATATATTCCGTTTTCAAAATGTTGATTTTGAGGCCATATTTTTTACCTATGCTATTCATCCTATCAAGTAATAACTGCTGATCTTCCAAATTATCAGTTAAAATCACTGTGTCGTCCGCATAGCGTAGGTTGCTAATTGGTATGCCGTTCACCTTAATGCCTACTTCCGTATCTTCTAATGCTTCCGCAAATATATGTTCAACATATAAATTAAAAAGCATCGGAGAGAGTATGCAGCCTTGGCGGACACCTTTCCGGATTTCAAATTCATCCGTATATTGGTCTTGATCAATCCTCACCTTTGCCATTTGGTTCCAGTTTAGATTCTGAATAATTCTGATCTCCTTCTGGTCAATGTTGGCCCTATGTAGTAGTTCCATCATGATATTATGTTTAACATTGTCAAATGCCTTCTCGTAGTCGATGAAGGTGAGGTAGACATCTTTTCGTTGATCTAAGCAAACATAAAATTGCCTCTCTTGTTCCTAGTCCCCCCTTAAAACTTGTGTTGAATTGTGTTGACCCGCTAAGTTCTTCTAGTATCTTGTACATTCTTGAGTGTAATATCCTAAGGAAGAGTTTCAACAAGTGACTCATTAAATTGATTAAGCGGTGTTCATTGCATTTTGTGGCATTAGCTGTTTTTGGGATCATCACAAAGGATGACTGCAACCATTCTCGCGGAATGTAACCAGTATCATAAATTCTATTGAACAGCCTTACCAAGATTTCGATATTCTCCTCGTCTAGTAGTTTTATTGCTTCTATATTAATTTCATCTGGACCTGTTGCTTTATGCATCTTTGTGGTTCTAACTGCATATTCTATTTCACTTCGCATTATTGATGGCCCTGATAAGTTTTCGGAAGGAAGTTTGCGCGTTGGTTGTGTTGGTCTTTCGTCATTAAAAAGGCTTTCTGCGTATCCTTTCCACGCCATTGCTATCTCTTCTTCTGACTCTATGTATTCGTTTCTGTCGTTGCGTATTCTTGTTCTGTGGTGGCTTTTGTGTATATTCGATATTTCTTTGATCTTCTTATGTAGTCCAAAACTATCTCCTTTTTCCTGCAATTGTTCTATTTCACCATCCAACGTTCTTTTGATTTCTTAATTTTTTGACGGATTTCTTTGTGTATCTGTTTGTATTTGTCTTGATTACGTTGTTGTTTATGTTGCCTTCGCTTTTCCATTAGATCCATAATTTCGTCCGTCATCCATTCGTTATGCTTTCTCTTTCTAATCTGTGTTTTAAGTTCCCTGTTTACTGCCAGAATCGTTCCTTTAATATCATTGACCATCTCTTCGATATTATCATTTTGTTTTATTACTCGCATTCTTTCATTAATTTGATTCGCATAACTCTTCTTCAGATTTTCGTCTCTCATCAGTTCTCTTGTGTTTATAGGTGTGCTGGTATTTGTATTTGTTCTCTTAATTTTTGCTAGTTTTAACCTCACATCTGCTATTAGCGGATTATGATCGGATGCAATATCAGCACCTGGATATGCTGCGATTCTTTTGATGGCGTTACGAAATCTTCTGTTTATTAAAAACTATTAAAACGTAGTCAATTTGGTTTCTAATTATTCGATTTGGACGGTCTCCTGGTGATCTCCAAGTATATAACTTACGAGGTGGGAGCTGAAACCATGTGTTCATGACGACAAAACCGTTCTCCTGGCAGAATTCACACAGCAGGTCGTCTCTTTCATTTCTAACTCCAAGGCCGTACTCTCCAATTATGTCTTCATATCTTCCTTTACCCACCTTGGCGGTAAAGTCGCCCATTATTATGTTTATGTCCTCTTTCTTTGTTAGTCTTATTGCTTTTTCCAGATATTTATAGAACTTAGTTATTTCTTCTTCTGACTTATCTGCTGTTGGTGCATATGCTCGTGTCACATTTATGTTTACTGGTTTGCCTGTCATTTTGATCAACATGACTCGTTCGGAAATTGAAACAAAATCTGTCACCGATTTACTGGTCTTCCTATCAAGAGCAATAGCCACTCCATGTCGGTGATGTCTATCTGTTGTGTCACTATACGAGTAATACATAGTAATTTTATCTTTCGTAAACTATCCAGACCATCGGACTTCACTGACTCCCATTATATTTATTTTCAGCCGATTCATTTCCTTTATAAGGTTGTGTAGTTTTCCTGGTTCGTAAAGACTATTAACATTCCATGTTGAAATTCGTTGGATATCATCTATTTGGCACCGGGAGATTCTTCGCACCCTCTGACCATCTAAGGCCTGCCCGGGACTGAGGGCCATCTGAGTTTTGTTTTGTTCTGCCATAATGAGATGAGTTATCCTGGGGAAAAGGTAGTGTTGTAGTATCCCGTTACTTTCAACACCGCAGTACCACAGCCATTCAAACTGTCCTAGTCATGCCTGTGGAATTCTAATAACAAGCCGGTCCAATATAATTTCTTTTGCGCCTTGCGTTGGTACTGGTGATCGCTGCTGCCCTTCACCAGGGTTGAGGACTAGGATGGATAAATATGGAGGGTGTAGGATAAAGGCTCTGGGACATGAGATTTCACGGTGTGAGATGGTGGAATATCATGAGCTAGCGTGGGCAGGGTCGCTAATCCCTGAAGTAGGTCTGTTTCCGCTGGGATCGTGAAAAGTAACCTACCCGCTACCCGATATTTTACTTACAGTAACCTACTGTAAGTAAAAACTATGATTTGATTTATTGAGGGAGAAACCACCTGAAGGGAGTGTAGTGGTCATCGTCATGTCGTGGTCATGTCGTTTGGTCATCTCAAGATTTATCTAAAAAAAGCTTTCAATCATGGGATTTAACACAGAGTTTTAATAAGTTTACTTAATACAGTATAGAGGTTTTAAACGATATAGGTAACAATAAGCATGTTGCTTAAAGACTATGTGTGATACAAAAAACAACTAAGATCAGATTTGGTTTCATCGATAAAGATCAATAAAAATCAGCTATTAAAGTCAAAAAAAGTTTTCAACCAAAATTTTTTTATTATATGTAATTAATAAGCCATCCAAATAAATAGAGTAGAAATTTTACAGAACTTGTTTCTTGAATGAAAATTTTATAATGTAGTAGATGTTACTACAACTAAAACTAGTAGATAACGAGTAAATACAACAAGACAACAATTTTGTCTAATGTATGCATTGTATCTATAATTATTAAAAAATATATATTATGATTTAGTATTCTAGCGACGTTGCGTATATTCATCCGTTACTTCGCCAAGCAGAAGCCACTGCTAAGTATACGCCAGTATATTTGTATAAATTTTCATATTCTCTGGAAGACTCGGTCATTGAAGGTAAGATATATTTTAATATATATTTAATATTTATATAATACAGGGTATTTTTTATAGAGGTATAGAAATGTAGGTTGGTAACACTTTTTTAACTGTTGGCCATTTTGACAGCTGCCAAGTGATTTATGTTAAGTTTGGTTTGGCATTTCAGCATGAATAGACTTGACGTCTGAATAAAGACTCCAGATTAGACAAATTTATTTTGAACATTGTGGTTCTGTTCAACATAATAGTCGATCAGAGATTAACCATGGAACGCTTTTGCACCTCGTTTACTCTAAATGATAATATGCACCCACAGACACGTCGTACAGTATGTACAGAAGAATTTGTTGCTGCTGCAGATCGAAGCATACATGAAGAACGGATTCAGTCTATTTGCCAACGTGCACACGCACCGGTTGGATACGTGTCTATCGACTTTATGGAGGATGTTGCAGAAAGCTCTTGCTTTGTTGCTCACAAAATCCAATTTATGCAAGAACTAAAGGTACATCATCACCTAGCAAGGCGTAGATTCATAGATTGGGTGAGTGGGTCCAAAACGAGATTGCTGTTGCTTTCGATTTTTGTAAGCGAATTTTGTTTAGCGATGCAGCTCATTTTTGGTTTTGGTTTGGTTGAATGGCTACATCAACAAACAAAACTACCCTATTTAGAGTTAAGATAATCCTCAAATATACACTAAGAAAGCATTATATTCAGAAAAACTGACTGTTTTGTGTGCCCTATGGGGCAAAAGCACATATCGGTGCCATATAATTTTTGTGATTTGAGCACTTCCTCATTAACTCAATAATCAAATTTCAAGGTAATCGTTTCAGTCCGCCAAAATGGCAAGGTCAATAGCCTTACATATGTTTTGTATTTTAGGAACTGGAAAAGTTGGTCACGGAGTAGATTTGGCATATTTCTGGGACAGTCCAGTAGTTCCCGCAGTAACTGTTGATGAAAACATTCGAAAATCGTTAGTCAAATTTTGGGTTAATTTTATAAACAATAAGTAAGTCTCACAACAATTTTCATTATATTTATTTTTAGTTATTGTCTATCTCTATTTTTATTTTACTAATATGTCAAACGATGAGATAAGTAGAAGAAACGAGAGATAAGAGGAATCACCAACGATTCTTGTTAAAGATGCTGTTAAAACTACTCGAAAACAAATCAGTCGGAATAGATAATCTCTCAGTTGAACTATATAAAGAAGACTTATACAGAAGTTAAAACTCTTCACATTTGTATTTAGGTATAAAAAAACATATAGTTATTCTTGCTCGGTTTGAACACGTGGTTATTGTCAGTTAAAATGACACAGACCAACTGTTAGTTGCCCAGTTTGCATGCAACGGGTGCTATTTTGGGCTTAATTCCCTTCTTAAGTCCTCCTAACATTTAGTTTAGTGATATAGACTCATAACAAAAAGTAATAAAAACATGTTTGGATGTTTCGAAAGAAAAATACTAAGGTGAATCTCTGGAGCAGTAAATTCTAGAATTTATAAAGCTAGAACTATCTTACAATAAAGTCGTCCCAGGAACGCAACTCAGCGGTATTAGCAATATCATTTTAAAATAGTCTATTTAAATTATTAGAATTTTTCACCAAGTAACAGAAAAAAATTGCCTTACCTATATATTAATGTTTGTATTTTAAGAACGATTTTCGAAGTGGAAATTAAAAGGTCAATAAACTTATTTTAAATTTCATTTGTAGCTTATTCCCATTAAAATAGTTATTACTCTAAATAAATATCTATTACAATATCTGCCAGGATTTCATTAGTGACTATCATTATCTATTTACTCTTATTTGAATTGATCTTTAATTAGTTTTAATACACACAAAAAATATTAAATGCATTAAAAAATAAAAAAGTTGACTTTTGACAGTTTTTTTTTATTTTAGAAACCCAACTCCCAGCGAAGACCCTGATATTCAGAATATCATTTGGCCTAAGGTAGATACGCAAGAATTTAAATTCATCAATATAGACGAGATTTTTACAATTGAGACAGATCCTAAACGTCAATATAAAGAAGTAAAAGAAGTACTGCAGCAATATTTAATGCAACCTTTTAATGTATACTAGGATAAAATAAAAACAAGTTTAATTAAAAAAACAAACATGTTTTATTTAATAAATGTTATCAAGATTAGTTTTTGATACGTACTTCTTCCTAAAGTACATTCGTTTAGCCAATTCCCATCTGTAAACAAACGCACGTTTTGATATTTGCCCTCTGATTCGTCAATAGGCTATTAAATATAACAAAATAAATGACGGTTGCGTTTCGATTTAATTTGAGTCTCTTTTATTAAATATAATTTATTGCCTTAAGCCAGACGGATTCTCATCTTACAGATCCAAACTTGCCAGTCTGTTTAAATTAAAATTGTAGCGTGTTGGTTTTTAAGTCAATATATTGTCAATATATTGTCATATATATTATGTTATAGTTACAGTTATTTACTGGTCATGTTATTTTTTAAGTGTTTAGTTTAAGTGTTTAGTATTAAGTTTTATAGTGTGTAGTGAACTTTTTAGTATCTAAAAACAAAATATTTGTTAATCAAAAGTAAAAATAGCTTGCGGTAAAAAGGTAAGAGAAACCAATATTTTATTATTGACGGTTCATCTTTTTAGTCCATTTATTCACGGTTTTTGCTGTTAAGTCTAGAATTGAATAAACTGACTAATTCTAAGCAACTTTTATTTTATACAATTTTTGGACAAAGTCAATACTTATCGAGTTATTTGTGAGTGTATATAATCATTTTTCAATAAAAAAAAACACGTTTTTAGATGGTTTTCCGCATATAGATCAAAAAGAAAGTATTTTATCGAAAAACATATTCTTAGAAAAAATATAGCTTATAAAAAAGTTAAAAAAAATGATGTACTTATACCCATATGAAGTTTGTAGACTCAGTTAAAGCAGAGTTGTAGCTAATATAATAAAATATAATAATAATAAAAGTTAAAAAAATTAATGGGAAAAACCCCGTAATTGGCTGTATACCATCGTTTAAAAAAACACAGAAGTTAAAACACTTCACAATTGTGTATTTTGGTATAAAAACATACAAGTACTTAAAAACTTTTAAAAAAGTGTCGTCAACATTTAAAATTATGGCAGAACGTTTTCAATCTCTACAGATCATCTTCAGTGCCTTTGGTATTTGGTGATAACAATATGGTGTATATAAGACTTCCATGTGTTGGTTTAAAAATTTATCACATTTTACATTTAATAATGTTGAGAGTCTAGGTCGATGACAATGGAATTGGTTTTAAATTAAAACTTACTTTAGGGACTACATGTCTCTTAAGCTCGAATACTTGCACGTGGTACTTGTCAGTTGAAACGACGACGAATGACAAGTACCACGTGCAAGTATTCGAGCTTAAGAGATATGTAGTCCCTAAAGTAAATTTTAATTTAAAACCAATTCCATTGTCATCGACCTAGACTGTCAACATTATTAAATGTAAAATGTGATAAATTTTTAAACCAACACATGGAAGTCTTATAGACACCATATTGTTAGCACCAAATACCAAAGGCACTGAAGATGATCTGTAGAGATTGAAAACGTTCTGCCATAATTTTTAATGTTGACGACACTTTTTTAAAAGTTTTTAAGTACTTGTATGTTTTTATACCAAAATACACAATTGTGAAGTGTTTTAACTTCTGTGTTTTTTTAATAATAAAAGTAATTCAAATTTCAAATATACGTACAACATTTTTTTGCTATTTTATAAGCTACATTTTTGCTAAGAATATTTTTTCGACAAAATAGTAACTTTTTAAGTTATTTGCAAAAACAGTCTAAAAACCTTGTTTTTTTGTTGTTGAAAAATGAGCATATTCACTCGTTAATAACTCGAAAAGTATTGACTCAGTGAAAAACCTCTAACGAACAAAGGTTGCTTATATTTAGTCAGTTTATCCAACTCCTGATTTATTTTGAAAGTATGTTTTTTCACCCCTGAGAATGGGTGAAACTCATCCCTAGGGCAAAAACACACATCAGCACAATCAATTTTTTTTATGTGTTTACTTCTTTATGTTGTGCTCGAATTTTATTGTTCGTTATTTCGAATAACGGAATTTGTTCTTTGACGTCTCATTCATTATCAAGCTCATTCCGCAAAGCCTGGACCCGTTGTTGATCTTGTTCGTAAGATATACTACGAAGGTTTAATCGATATTTTAATTAGTTATAGTTGTAAAATGTAATAAAACTCAGACATTACCTTAAAAAAAAACGAATTCACTAAACCCTAACTTATTTATTATAGTGGAGTATCTCACATATCCAGACTCCAAACCGAGCGGACAGTTAAAGGTTCCGTTACATCGTGCGAACGGTTCTCGAATTGAACAGATACATGTTAATGTAAAGTGATTAAAAAGCAATCTATTAATAATAGACTTGAAAACAATAAACTCATCAAATTTTATAATCGGTTCACAATTTGTCGATAGCTCACTACAAGTTTAACCCTAATGAGAGAACTGAAATACAGAGAGGATAGGTAATACGATATAATAGTAAAAACTAACCTGAAACTAATGGTTTAAGATGTTTTCGATTAACCCACCTTATATCTGAAGAAATACAATACATCAGTCAACCTTATAATCCGATGACAAAGGTATTTTGGTTACAGATGACCGACCAGTGTCGTAGAGTATATGATTGAAACATTTATTTGAACTCTTTAAATACATTTTTTAAATTGGATTTATATAAATTGTATTTTTGTTTTAACAAAACTTCTTTATTTTATTTAAAAATAAAAAGTTTCTTGCCATTTGTAAAAGATACATTTATTTAACTAAGAGGAAAGGCGCAAAATGTCGCCTGGCAAAATTTTCAATGTGTTTTAATGTATCCATTATTTTCGAATTCGGAGAAAACTAATGAACATTTTTGAAAAATTTAAACGCAAAATGAATGATTACTTTATTACTGAGGACAGAAAGTCCCTGAAAACTTCTACAATGTTTATTTTAATATGTTATGTAACAGGTGTGAAAATAAAAGAGAAAATATAGTATAATTTTTAATTGAAAATATTGCATGTAAAAGAAACTTTTTATTTATTCTAATATTTCATTCTGACTTTAAATTTTTCAAAAATGCTTTTTAGTTTTCTCAGGATTTGAAAAAAAAATGGATATATTTAAAACACATTGAACATTTTGACAGGCGACATTTTGCGCCTTTCCCCTTTAATACATTACGATTATTAGTACTATTACTTACCTTATATAATTACGATTAGAAAACTGTTCAAATTCAAAATAAATAGGATCAACTTCGGAACACTAGGCGTCTTGAGGGTTAATAATTAGCGGTTGTGTCTCTACGGTCTCATCAATTACGTTATCAATATCCCACATTTTTTGTTTATTACATGTCTTACTGCAACTTTCCAGTTTTGTTCTGTAATATGTTATAAAGACTTGTATAACAATTCACGTACAGCTTGTATTTTATATGACGTATTTTTTCTTAGACGGCTGAACCAAACAACACAACTGGTCAATATAATAAAGAAACGCAAGCTGGAATACTTCGGTCATATTATGAGACACCCTGAAAAATATGATCTTTTACATCTGATCATTCAGGGAAAGATCCAAGGTAATTGTGGTCCTGGTAGAAGAAGAACATCATGGCTAAAAAATCTAAGGCAATGGTATGGAAAATCAACTACATCGTTATTTAGAGCTGCTGTCAATAAAGTCACGATAGCGAATATGGTAGCCAACATGATATCCAACGATCGATAACGGTCATGGAACTAGAAGAAGAAGACATAACTCTCATTTGTGCCCAAATGAGTTCAATTGGATTTATTTCGTAGTGGTTGGGTGGAAGTCTAAGGACTGTGATGTTTCGCCTTTCCGCCATTTTGTCATTTACGTATTTCTTGAACTTAAATTTGTGCAGCCGGGCAATTTTTACAAGTTCTGCTGTTACCATTCAATCTTCGTAAGGCAGATACTTATTCCGCAGCCAGTCAAGAATATCCTGTTTCTTCCACGAAGTTATTGGAAGTCTTTCTACTAGTCGTGAATGATAAGGTGCATAATTTAATACTATAATTAAATTTGGTGACATGTGTTCAATCATCTGCTCAAAATACTCTTCGAAAACATCAGCTGTCATCTCCTCGTGATAGTATTTTGTGCTTTTGGACCGAAATTCCAACAAACCATGCTTAACAAATCCTTTTTCACTGCCTTTACTAGGTGGGGAGATACCAGTAGACCAACCTTCCATAAAGGCTTGCCTGAAGCTTAATATATTTTTATCTGACCAATTTTTTTTTAGAGTATGAGCTGAGTTTACCCATGTTTCAACCTGGTAGAAGATTGGCCTTCCTTTCAGATTTCTCCCACCGAAAATTTAATTCTTTAAAAACTTGCCACAATTTAGTTCGTCCGATATGAGGCAAATTTGGGTCGTCTCTAACTTCTTGTAAAATTATGTTTAGGTTTGGTATTACTTTTTTGAAAAAAAAATCCATGAATTTTCCTTCGAATACCAGTTTTGGCAAATTCATCAATTTCAATAGGCTTTTTCCCTCTCTTTAAGTGTTTATTTGTGTTTGGGCTAGCTATACCTGTTTTTTTTCTTTCTGATAGGAACCTATATATATATATATATATATATATATATATATATATATATATAGTTGCCTCTCTACGCCAGTTATGTTAGAACAACTTTCGACTATGTTGCGAACAGTGTTTGTGGGATTCTGAGAAACCAGAGCATCGTGAACATTCAGGACAATCATCTGCTTTCTTGGTGAATAGACAGATTTACTGACTGTACGCAACAGTACCGGTGTAAAACTTGATGATGTTGATGATGAAGCCATCACAAACAATCCAACAAAACGAGCACGAGCAAAAGGTACGTATATGTTCGTAGGTATATGGAATAAAAAATCACTTACGCACTGCATATAATTCGCAAAAGAAATATTCGAAACGCTAATTACTGCCGTAGACGCGGAAACACCGACGAGCCGTAAAGTACATGCGATCAGCAACGTACTAACCAAAAAAAAATTGTTTTTGTTCGTAATA